TTTTTTTTTTTAATTCTGAAATACACTAAAGAAAATATTTTATATTTCTCCACAGCAGCTGCCTCTTCATTTCGTCCCCAAATAGCGTTTCTATCAGAAGAATTTAATTAAATTTGCCATCACCGCTGTTAGAGTGCTGGTCATTAGGAATGCATTGGGCCACCTCCTCCCAAAAAATGAAGCGTTCACTGGCACACAGCAAGGCAATTTCCCTGTGCCTTTTACATAGTGGGCTCTAGGCACCGACATGGTTTGCATGATAAAAAAAGGAAGGTGAGTCATGCGGGAGGTCTGTGCATTTGCATATCCCCAGGGTGCTTGGTGTAATTTAGCTACATATGTCCCTTCCCTAATAGGCTGGAGTTGGCTTAACGCAAGGTTTGTGTTTTTGGAAGCGACCTCAGTTGATTGTCTATTCAGATTCACAGCCCTACTCTGATTTGCAATTGAAAGGCACGTAATTGTACTTGAACTAACTGAATAACTATAGGTTTTTTAGGGCAGGGAGGGGGGAGAGGATTTTTTAAAATTATTTCTATGCTCCATGCAAGTGCATCATGCCACGGGATCCACTTGATAGGACATTGTTCACATTGTAGAAGCTCTTGTGTGGCTTTTTGAACAAGATGATTGATATTCTGCATAGGTCGCACAGCACCTTTACATCACACACTCACGTACGGGAGGATGCAGCCACTTTGAAGCTAAAAACAAAAAAACTATTTTGGTTCCTGGCTGGTTTTAGAAGTAAGTCCCTCTGACTGAAGGCCTAGTATTAGATTCTGTCAGTGTAAAATTACCAATCATGTACTGACGTTTGTATGTGACAGGGTAAAATCTTATTTTCCTTATTTCTGAAAAGACCACAGACTGGGTCACTGAGGTAGAGGCTGGGCTGTATGTGGCCCTTTTTAAAAAATATATTCTTTAGTTTGTTAAGTCACATTTAAATCACAAATTTAAATAGTTTTTCTACAGGTGTGGGTTAGGGTTAGGCTTAGTGGTATTCCTGTATTTCCTGATGTAGAACTAAATACACACATACTTTTAAATATAAAAATGTACTTATTTCACACGGCAGACTGATATTTTCCCTTAAATCCAATAACCCAGTTCTAATTTTTCACATTAGCGACCGGCAGCTCAGCTGTTCCAGGTCAGAGCCCACTGCTTATCTCCACATTTGACTGCTGTAATTTGCCTCTCAAATACTCATCTGAGCCACGTTAGCGATGAACATATCCAATGAATGCATATTCCGCTGGTGCGAGTCCTGTGTGTGTGTTAATCCCAACTTGTTATCCATGACATCAAACCCAATTTATCCAGATTTAACATCTATTCTCGGTTCAACAGAGAGGAAACGCACTGGAATATAAATGAATGTTATTTTCCTAATCTTTATTGATAACAACCTCCTGTGAAAACACTTCTCACTTTTCTTGCGTCCCCGTATTAAACCAGATTAGAATGAAAGGTTAATGGGATTCTCTTCTTCTGAACAAACTGCGCTTTATTTCTCCCGCTCGCAGAAAGCCATAAACATCCTCCTTGCAATAACGAATGGTGATTATGGCGATGATATTAATTATCATTACTTTCAATTACTACACTCAGCCAGGCCCTGTCGGTTATGAGGGCAGCTCCCTGCGGAGGAGCCGCCACCCGCCACCATACATTCATTAGCTCAGCCTGGAGACTGCGTCTCCCTCCTTCATCTCCGCCTTTCCTTCCTCCCTTCTTCCTCTCGGCCCTTGTTCATCTCTCTTCCATTTTTTCTCCTCTGTCCACTCTCATCCACACAGCCAGAGCCAGTGAGTCCAAGAGGCTCCACATTTACTGTCAAGGTGAGGCAGGGGAATGGATGAGGTGAGGTGAAAGTTAATTGCGGACAGATTTGTTAGAGAATCCGTGGCACAGATTGTACAGATTCTCTCCTCTTCTCCTTCCTCCTGCTCCCCCCTCACCTCCTCCTCCTCCAGTTTCATTCTCCTCCTTATTCTCTCTGCTCACGTGTCTCCACCATCGCTCCTGTGACTGCTCCCTCCTCACTCACTCACTCTCCCACTCGCTCTCTCGCTCTCGTTGCTGTGTCTCTCGAATTTCCACCCTGCCTTCACTCTTGACATGATACATCCATTTCTGCTCCATGAAATATGGAGAGGACCCTCATGAATTGTTTACAGGTTAACAGCATGCATGCCAATGGCAGCAGTGGGGGGTGAGGGGAGATGCCCAGGTTTACACCTCGGCTGGACTGGCTTCACCAAATAAAGGGTCCAATTAACTCAACCTGCAGCCTTTCACACACTCAATTTACAGTGGATGTCACCATTGAATATTGAAACGTGCCCTGATTCTACCAACATGTGATGCTCTTGCACATTTTTGGACCAATATGTATATATCTTGTTATATGTATACACACACATATATGTATATATCTATATATAGTGGTAAGCAATCCCTTTCCTTTGGAGCTGTACACCTCTAACAAATCCATCCATCCATTTTCATCTGCTTATCTGTTACCAGGTCACGGGGGCAGCAGTCACCGCCCAAATCACACTGCACTGTACCAACCCCCCTGAACCTTCCTGCAGGTGGTGAGTCCACTGGAAGGTACCAACTGCCCTAACCAGGATTTGAACTTGCCCAGGAGGTGAACCCTGGGGTTCCACACCAATGACAGAGACATTGCCTCTGGGCCAAAGCGCCACCCCTCTAACAAATCAAATAACAAAATCAAAAGCGTGTCACACATTAGCATGTCTCATTTCTTCAGGTTTTAATGGCAGTACTGCACCCTTTGAGCTCTATTACTGGCACCTACTGATTTTTGTGGATTTTTATATCATTGTATGTTTTTTTTTCCCTAGGAAATGTTTACATGCTCCAACGTGACTTCAGCTAATTTTTTTTTTCAATAATACTAATGCATTGTATTGACCTCTCAGCACTAAGCCGTTCACCTGTCCCACAGGAAGCAAGAATAAAGTGACAGGAAGCGGGCCGGTAGCTTTAATGGGGCTCAGGATATCTGTTTAGTTGCTCTCGCTGGACAAACCCGGACCGTTGACTTGGTTAATTTCCTTCTGATGAGCTCGTGCATCACGCTGTTGTTTTACCACAGGGACATGAAGAATAAGTACGTGAACATCAATTAGGATGCACTTCAGTGGGAGCTAAGTTGTGGTAGGGTTTTTTTTCCCTTTCTTTCTTTCCTTCAGGTCTGAGCTGGTGATTGATAGTGATGAACCTGAGCACCAGAGGCGTGCATTTTAGATGGACGATTGGTGCCGCTCTGAGCGCTTGCTTCCGACTAAAGTGCTTGGCTGCAGCTTGTGGTTATAATAAAGTGCTCAAGAGCCACACCACTTGAGATATCACGTGGATATATTATTAATCTATTGCCACTGCACTGTGGTCCCAATGTGGAGAGTAAAGATGTTTTCTTACCTGGCTTTTCCTCTGTCTCCTCCTTTGTTTCTCGATCGCACTCAGCGCTCTTTGTCCTACTCTGAAGTTTGTCTGAGGAAAGGAGCTGGAACGGGAAGAGGAGAGGAAGAAATGATCAGATCAACATCCCTCTCTGAAACAGACTTTCTCACTCTGATTATTTTTTCTTGTCTCTGTCTGTCTTCTGTACAGCCAGCTTGGCTAACCTCATCATGGGGACCAATTTCACAAGCGCCGCCAAGACACATGGCAACGCAAACGTGTGTCAAGGCGGTTATAGAGGAACAGAAATTCACTGGCCCTCTGTGTTTCAATGTCAGGATGAGGTCACAACAAAGATACATGTCTAACTGAAACCCCAAGTCTGTATAAATCTGACTGATGTTCAGCCTGCCTGGAACTCCATTTACGAAAAGAAATTTGCAAGCAATAATTAAAAAAGTAATATTTCTCAGTGCAAGACAGCAAATAATTCACACCTGTGAGACACTACTGTTGAAACATTATCAGAAGTAAAAGGAGTGTAAAAAGTGTGAAGGACAAGGGCAGAAACAACTGCTAAATGTGAGGAAGGAATGAAATCTGGAGGATTATGGGCAGAGAAGAGAAAAATGTGAAATTTCCATCATTTCAAATCTGGCCTGAAATCAAACCTGGATCGTGTTCTGACAAGATCAGACCTGAAGGCAGAAGAATGTTTCAGAGACAATGTTATGTTATTCTCTAACTGAACGCAGCATCACTTTAAACACCACTCACTAAAACCTGAACGCTGTTTAACAAATTTCACTTCTCCCTCATCTGCCAGCTTGGCCGATGAATTCTGCTCCCGTTCTAAATATCTCACTTCACACCAGTTTCAGAACCACTTTACACATCTGAAGGTAAGTAATCATTTACTGTCAGAAACCGTTCTGTGTTTTCACTTTCGAGGCACTGAAGTCGTAACCACAAAATTGTGTGTCAGCTGGAACGCCTCGCGGATGTCAGAGCTGCTAATGGCTTGCGAACGGCGTCGGTGCTGTTTCATGGAAGCACGTCGTTGTGTTTGAGTTCACTGGGAAATGACCAAAATGATCCTAGTGGGGTTCGGTTACCATTTGTGTGTGCATGTTTGTGTGTATGTGCGTGTGTGGTGAGAGAAGAGGAAGAGATTCTGTGTGACAACAGGAAACAAGGGTGGTTTAGAAGATACTGATACTGTATGTGTGTGTCTGTGCATGAAGATGCACAGACGTTTTCACTGCTCCTTTTTCTCACATTCTCTCGCTCACATGCACGCGCATACACACACACTCTTGGTTTGAGTTTTGTAAGCACTGTACATAGACACAGTGAACCCACAACCACGTAACTTAACCTGAAGTTTTATAAATATATTCCTAATCCTTGCTTTTACCTTAGTGCTAACCCTAACTCCAAACTACATTTTGAACTTCAGAAAACCCTCGTAGTCAGTGTGGACCTGCCAAATGTCCCCACAACTGTAGTATTTTTCAAAAATGTCCCCACAACTATATACTGGGACATATAGGCACTTCAAGAAGACACTAGGAACACAGAGTCAGTCGTCTGAAGGACCTGGACCTGCCACCTAGAGATTAGCTCTGTCACAGAGGGGTGTGGCTGTGTCGTTGACCATTGTCCAATCAGGCGTGACCCAGCAGGGAAAACAGGCCAACCAGCACGCCCACATCCCACTAGGCTGCCAGGAGAGCGTCACATGATGGGACCAACTGTCACTACACATGGTCTCTCTTTTCCCTTTCTGTTTCAAATACCAGCGTTCACGTCTGAGGAGAATTCCATCCATTAATACTTAATATTATCCATTTCAATCTCTCAGAATTTTCCAGAACTCTCTGGTCCTTTTCCGTCCTCTCTGCTCGCTGTTTTCCTTCCACTTCAAATTGGGAACACACTGCGGTCCTCTGGAAAAGATTTCCCACAGGTGCACAAATATCATCATGGCATTCTTTGTGGCGGCCCACACTGACCTGACTAATGGCTCTGTTTTGGTACCGACAGCACCTGGACATTTTCAGCTTCATTTCAGTCTGAATACAGTGGTTTGGCTCTGGATATTCACACTACATTAACTTTGCAAGGAACGACAAACAAAACATTTGTTTTAGACATACAAATGCTTTGGTGGGACACAGATAAAATATCTCCATTCAGAGCAAACACTTTGTTCTAAGACCAGACAGAGCAGTGTCTGATCTTAGAACCTCTCCTGATCTGTGTCTGCACCATTTACCTGAATGATTATCAGGCCAAACTGTAGTCCCTGGGGATTCTTCTAATAATACAAGCAAACATCAATTAGATCAATTCTTTATGTTCCATACATGGAAAAAAATAACTCTAAGAAACATTTTGAAAAAAATCAAAATAAATTTTGGCTAACCTTTATTTACATGTGTGCTTGCTTTTGCTATTCTTGGGAAAACATCGATCTACTTTAGAAATCAAAATATTTACCAAGCCACTATTTCCTTTTGGCCTAATTTAAGTTTAAACCTTTAGTAAACAAAATCTTAGCTACTTTTAGCTAAGGGCAAGCAACTTTTAGAGTATCTTTGGGCCATCTTCTCGGCAAACGTATCTATCTTGCCATGTTTACAGCCAACTAAAATATATTTATTTTTACTTTGCAGAAAATGTCTTGCTTCATTTTGGCAGCAATTAAATCTCCTAGGCTTCCTCATGTTTTTCTGGCAGAAAAACTGGCAAAAAAGTTTGTAGATTCCTGTGAACTACAGGTCCATTCAGTGTAGGTAAAAGCTCCTGTCAACAGAATTCTAAATGGAAATTCATTTTAAAGGCACTCTGCTTCAAACGTCCTTTTAATTTTGACTATGTCCTGTATTTTCATTCCCATACTTCTGCACGCAGCTTGGAACGTGTCCAACAATTGTATGTTTTAGCTCTTGATTTTCTAAACATACACTGGCAACTGAGGTTGGAGCTGAAAGGGAAAGAAAGGCCGAGTCCCTGTTACTCAGTACATCTCCCTCTGGAAATGATTACAGCTGTTGGTGCAGCTTGGAGCCATTACTGATGTACACTGATGAAGTCCCATTTGTTTGAAGTGCAAGCACTTGGTCTAAGCTCTTCGGCATGTGTGAGTGTGTGTGTACGTTTATATGTGTGTGTGAGTGCATCTGCGTGAGCACGCCTGCATCTGCATCTGTCCGTCCTGGTGCGTGAAATCTTCTTCCCTTCCCTTTTAGCTCAAGCCAATGCTACTAAAACCCATGGCATTTACGGAGCTGAAAATAAACTCTTTAAGAAATGTGATCCCTTTTAAGTGTCGGGCTAAGAGTTCAAGTCGCTTCCGGTCGTCAGACATATGTCACCGACTCCAAGTTTAAGTGTAAAATGTTTTGTTTGGCAGCAGACACGGTTTGCCGTTTTGCGCGGCCTCTCTGCTTTGACAAGATAACATAACAGCTTTTTCCTGTCCCGACAGTGTTTTAGCTACAGAACGTCAGTCAACAGTCAGTGCTCACAGAGTGAGAGCTGTGGAAATTTGGTGGGATTCCTGTACACATGCTGCGGGTTTTTGAAACAAATGATTTAAATCTGGAATATATTGTCCAAGCGTTGATGTGATCCGCTGCAATTCTTCTTTCAAACAAAGAGACATGTAATGAACTCTGTCCTGGTGCTTTTTGGCTGATGGGTAAAAACTGAAACTGGTCTTTTTCTTCTCTAGTTGAAGACATGTGTGTTTTATCGGCTGATGTGAAACATTTGCCCTTGGACTGAAAATATCCTGGATGTGTGAAAATAAAAGAAACAGCCTGTAATGCAGACCAGTGTTTTTGTGCTTTGAGGATTTATGAAACAATAAACATCCAATTCTGTAATTTTTGGAATTCTTTCACAAATGAGGCAATGCAACAGACACATGCTGACTCCTCAGCATCCATAGCTAATATCTGTGCTCGGATTCAGTAATTTTAGGTTGGTAGGTAAAAACTCCAGGCTTTCTACTGTGAAATATAAAACCAAAAGTCACATCCAGTTGTTCCAGTTCACAGCTGCTTTTCTGGGGTTACAACTTGTCAAAGCTGCCTGAGAGATGTGTCTTCAAGCATTGGATGTTGTTGTACAATCAGCGTCAGTCAATGTCATCGCCTTGACATCAACTGGCTAGACCCTGCTCTTCCTGCAGCTGGGGCTGTAGCACACCGCTCTCCAGCTCTGGTCCCTTTAAGCACAGCCCTCGATGTCAGCTTAACTGTAGCCACCTTACGTCGAAGCTCCCTCAATAGCGTCTTCATGATTCAAATACTGGCAGAGAAATGTGTGACGTCTGTTTGACTTCAATCACATACATTTTCCAATTTAGAACCACACACAGGGCCTTGGGTGACCAAACATAAATGTGGCCTACTCTGGCCAACTACTATTAACAATGACAAACGACAATAAGATCACATTTGTCTTGAAACCTTTCAACTTACATATAGCGACAGCCATCATTCCCACTAGCAGTAGCCCTGAAAGAACGAGACACAACTGTCTTGTCAGAGACCACATGCTAATTTCTGTTAACTACTTTGTTGCCAATTTTTGGCAGACTTCCAGATTAAAGGGAACAATCCAGCTATGGAATTTTGTGTGCTATTTTTATTTCATGCAAATTGGTGTCCTTGTTCCCTTCCGTGGTACGTGATGAGGTCAGGAATGCTGTAAATCCACTCCTCTGCCTCAGCTAAGCACAAATGATGAGGGAAAGGCAGTTGGTGAGCTGCATGACGTTCTCACTGTTGTAACACATGTCACGACTATTATTTCATAAAGTTGGCCGCCTGTCTAAAACAACACAGGCTGCTGTGTCCAAAGCTTTGTTTGCTTCAGTGTTAATCAGCCAGAACAGCAGAATGGAGCCTCTAAATAGCAGCTCCTTCTCCTTAATCCGTCTTTAAGAAGAGCATATAGACAGATGTCCTTTCTTTATATGACCCACAGGAGCATGTATCCAACAGCAGGAGGCTTCCTCTGCTCTCATGACTGTCTGAATAACAATAAACAGTTCAGTGGTTGAGGCTGTGGGACGGTCACATATGGTCG